TGAAGACAGGGGGAACTGCCCCTTGGACTTCTGAGGCTTTAGATGGTCATGGGAGGGAGGACTTACCTTTCTCCTTCATAGTAGCTGGTGGGTTCCCGCTGGTCACCTCACGTTTAGGTGCCCAATTTCTCCCCAGGGTTCCGAAGCAGCTTGCGATTTTACTGGCATGAGCTTCAGTAGACTCACACACATAGACTGTTCAGATTATATTATGATAGTGGTGTCCCGTTCTTGGTGTTTTATGACAGTGCAAAGCAGTGAGGGGTGCTTGTGTTTACCCTCTGTCTTCCCAAAGCTTGCTCCCCCTTTTTCTCATCAGTCGGGGTTGGCCACTCAGACACACTAGGGGGCACTGCACCCTACTGATTGCAGCCAGTGCAGGCACTCAGCTCTTCGCAAGGCCAGCCCGCAGCACCCAGCTCTTTCATTAATATTGGTTCCCAGGACCAACCTGAAGGAGTAATTCCTTTAATGAGTTGGTGGTTGTCAAATATACTGTATTCCATGATTTAGACTAAGTAGTTACTTAAGATTACAAAAGAGACTATAAAAATAATACCTTCTTATCTATTATTTAGTTTCCTGTAAAATAAAATTTTATCCATTTTTTGAATTATCATTATTTTCAGAATTATTGGTTTAGGATTCATTCAATCCTTACTGAGGCCTGATAAAGCCATTTACATGTCTTATCACAATCTGAGCCTTCTGAATTGTAGTTATTTTATCTTCAGTCTTCAAATGAGGAAATTGGGGGATCTTAGCAGCCAAGTAGCTTCCATCAGGAGACACAGCTGCCAAGCATCGGAACTATAATTGAGTCCAAGTCTCTGACTCAGGAGTCTTCTCCTCACAAGTGCTGGCGTGTCGAAGCTGACTGGAACCACGGGTCTCTTTCAGGGGCTGTGTTAGCCTTCATGTTGGGCTTGTTTCAGATGGACCTGGATGAATGTGAGGAGCTCTATCGAAAATTAGGATCAGATGTGTTTTCACAAAACGTCATTGTCGGGACCGTTAAAATGAGCTGGAGTCATGCATTTTATGACAGTAAAACATGGGAGAAGATTCTTAAGTAAGTCACCACTGTTCTTTTTGCAAATTTTCTCATTGTGTAGATGATATATGCATATTATCAGAAAAATACAAAGAAGAAAGAATATTAAATAGTTAATCCCTTAATTGAGGATTCAAACATCGAACACCAAACTCACTGCTATTGCGTTGATTCCAACTCATAGTGACTGCTTTGGATTTCTGAGGCTGTACCTCTTGATGGGAGCAGATAGCCTCATCTGTCTCCTTCAGGGCAACTGGTGGCTTTGAACCACCCACCTGGGGATTACCTACTAGTACTATGCTTACTCCACAGTGCCACCAGACCTGCTTTAATCGAGAGTGACCACTGTTCATATTTTTTTGGTGAATTTATTTTCATCATTGTTTTCTTGGGTTCCTGTGCATGAGATTTACATACACAAATTCCACCAGCTCTTTTGAAAATATGAGACCGAATTTTAGATAGACCATATTTTTATTCTGTTGTGTTCTAACGTATTTGTTTATTTACATGTCATTAATAGAATAGCTTCCCAAACTTCTTAAGAATTTTCAAACCTTTTTTACCAAAGTGTTCTATGACCACCATGTTCATTTTGGAAATTACAAGCATCAAGCAGACATTTACCAGCATTCACAATCTTAGGGCTGGGAGCTGTAGGCCACTGTGCTTCTTTCTGTTTTATTTTTTCCCCTCTGGACCCACATGAATGTTATATAGGTGAAATTATAGCTGCATTGTTGTCTCGTTTTATTCTTCCATGTACTATATTTTATCATTTTATTTGGCATAATTTAAAAGACTGCATATCTAATTTTCATAATTCCTTTTAGAACATTTGTGAATATTTAGGACATTTTTGTTGTCCCTAAGATTTTGTGATTACCAGTGGGTCAATTTACAAGTAGCTTAGTGGTTGGTTAAATAGAGGTAATTTTTAAAATAATCATCTGAAAAATAGAAAATACATAATGAAGATAACTAAAGTCACTTCTATTTCCATTTAGCACAAAATAACTGTTGATATGTTAATAGATTTCTTTCTAGAATTTGCTAGATGGAAATATATATGCATGTTTATATCTATTCATCCCCTTCACAAAACTGCCATGATAATATACCTGTACTTCTGTATCCTGCATTTCCACCTGGAGTTTTATGATGAGTAATTTCTGATGTCACCAAATATTTCCATTCAAAACAAAGCATATTTCCATTTTATAGATGTATTGTTTTTTGTTAGGAAGGTTAGCCATGTTAGACATTTTTGCAATTCAAAATAAACTTTAGGTGGATATCTTAAATATCTATTTAAATATGATATCTGAGTATATCTTTAAGGTAAATTTCTAAAAATAGAATTGGGGGGGGTCAGAGGTCTTAAGTATTTTAAGGATCTTCGATAGCTGAACTGTACTCCAAACAGTTGCCCCAGTTTTTCCTTATCGATTTGTTTTTCTATTCCATGCAATATCACAGAATCAAACATTTTAGTTTTTGAAACTTTTTTGGAGGTTTTTAGCCTGGCGTTTGAATTTGTAACACTCTGAACCTTTAAAAATGTTTTTGACGGCATATATTTCATCCATGTGAGAATCTAGGGCATAATGGTTGCTTATTTTTTGATTCTGATAGTCTTCCCTGTTATTAGTATGCTATTTATAATATGTTGAAAATAAGCTTTTTAATATTTTTTTAATACAGAGAATTCCTTTTTAAAATAAATCATTTTATTGGGGGCTTATACAACTCCTATATCACAATCCATACATACACCCATTGTGTAATGCACGTTTGTACTTTTGTTGCCATCATCATTAAAATACAGAGAATTCTAAATCTTCATTTATTCAGATTTTTCCCTTTAGTGATTTTTAACTTTACTTTCATGTTTAGAAAGTCTTTTCCATTCTAAAACCAGGTTATTATTTATGTTATTTTTGAGTTCTAAGGTTTTATTAAGTTTACAATTAATTCTAATTCATCTAAAAATTATTATGATACATATTATTAGGGTATAAAGTTTTATTTGTTTATTGCAAATATTTAATTCAGGTATCCCAGGATTTTCCCCTGATTTAACCACCATCTTTTTTTATATTTTAAATTCTGGTCTGCAAAGGGTCTAGTTTTAAAATTTTGCTTTCCTTTACTGATTTATTTTTGTACAAAATCTCTAAGGTGTAATTAATCCTTTGCATAACATGTTTTTATATGGATGTGGCAAGTCTCTTTATTCTTTTGCACAATTCTATTAACTTTCTTTTATTCATTTTCATAGTGAATCTTGGTGTGCTTTGTTACATTAAAAAATATTTCTGATACTTTGAAAATTGCATAAAATGTTTCAGTAATTCTGTGGAATACTGACATCTTTGCAAGTGTGAAACATTCTAATTTATTAACATTGTATGTGACTTATTTTCTGCTCTTTATTGTGCCTATTAGAAAAAAAGTCAATTCTCATGAAATCATAAAATCACACTATTTAAATTTATGTAATACAAGCTTAAAATTTTAATGTAAAGCAGAATTCTGTTATGAATTACTTTTCCTGTTATTACGCAGTAGAGAACCTCTGTACAGGTGCACTTTGTTACTTCGGCCTTGCCCTTTTAGAGGCCTCTACATTTTTAATCACAACATTGACACGTTTCTGAATGTGATTCATTGGCTATGTTTTGCTCGGCTTTTACTACTCAACAAACCACTCTCAAACTTGTCACTTAAAGTGATGTTGATTTATTATCATGGTCCTGTGGAATGATCAAGGACTTCTTCTCTGTTCTTGCCTGAGTTCCTTCAAGAACCTCTTCTCAGTGGCCTTTCAGGGCAGGGAACACGGAGCCAGCGGGCTCTCTCTCTCTCTCTCTCTCTTTCTTGGTTACCACTGATGGGTTTCATCTCACCAAGGCGGGCCCAGAGCTCCAAAAGTACACGCGTCGGCGCACCAGGCCTTGTTAAGCCTCCGTTCATGGCATGTTTGCTGATGTCCCACAGACCAAAGCTACTGACGGGACCCAAACCAAACCCTGATTCTCTGTGGGAAGGGACATGCGTACCAGAAAATAGTATTCACTGGTAACATTATCCATTATTTTATTTATTGGGGGCTCATACAACTTTTATCACAATGCATACATGCATCCATTTGTGCCAAGCACATTTGTACATATGTTGCCATTATCATTTTCAAACATCTTCTTTCTACTTGAGCCCTTGGTGTCTGCTCCTCTTTTTCCCCTCCCTCTCCACCCTTCCACTCTCCATGACCCTGTGATAACTGATAAATTATTATTATTTTTATATCTTACCATATCTACCCTTTGGCTTGGCTTTCTTTCTTTTTCTATTTTGTCAGTGTGTGTGTGTGTGTGTGAAATCTTATTGTTTATTGAAAGTAGTGTTTTTTGGGGTATTTTCCCCCTGTGACAGTAATACTGCGTGACTGTAGGCACATTCATTTTAATTATAGTATAGTAAAATTTAGGAATGCTGATCTTTTTTGCAACAAATAACATGCTCTTTGAAATAAGTCATTACTACTCTTGACTTTATCTTTGAATTTATATTCATAACTTAATTTATTAATGCATTTTAATCCTGAGTATAATCAAGGTTTTAGCAAACAAACAAAAACCCAATGTGAACTTTGCATAACATTGAAACATATGAGAGCAGCATGCTCACAGGCCCTCTGTCCCACTCTTACAGTAAGAGCTCTGTAAGAAGAGAACATGAAAGGCCCTTAGAAGAATGAAGCTACATTGATAGTGATGTAGAACCTGACAGACGAGATTTGCAAAAGACAGGAATCATGTCCACTTTTGGAAATATTTCATGTTGCTCTTTATGAAAACATGAAAGGGGAGAGCCTTGACCAATTTGTAAATGCTACCTTCACATGAGAGTCACTAACATTCTAGTTGACTAATTGAGAAGCCTGAGCATTATTTGAAAACTGTCATTAGAAAATATTTTTCCTCATTAAGGCAGATTGGTAAAAGCGTAGCTTGTATGTTCAATCAAGGGGAAAATGCACCACTGAAGCTTTACGTCTGGGGGAGACTTTTGAAACAATTCCCTGGAAGTGGAACTGTGATAGTCGCCGTCCAAGGACAGTTTCTATCTTGGTGCAGCCATTCAAATTCCAACTCAGATGATTTTTAAAAGCAGTGATTTGGTAACATTGGGCTTTGGTTGTTTATTAAAGTCAAGTTTAAAGTCCTGACTTGGTTATTAGGTGACTCTGTAGGTAGCGCCCCCACACCCGCCCCTCGCCCATGATGGAGCCTTAACTGTCAGCAGGGCCCTGAAAGCAACAGAGTTCTTCTTCCTCTTTCCCTTTCCTTTTCTGTGGGCCCTCCTTTGGGGTGTGCCCCCTTGTCATCCGTTAGGGCCCCTTTCAAGCTACCTCTCCGTGTAACTGAAGCCGGCATAGCCTGCTCCCGCTTAGAGCACTGCATGTTTGCCATCTGCATTAGAGGCGAATAAGAGATGAATAGCTAAGTATCGTTTCATGTGCTATTACCTAGATTATAAATCTCTGAGATGATGTTCTTTTTTTTGTTTTTTTTTAATCGCTTGCAGCACCTTGACAAAGCCTTGGGCAAATAGTGTTTATATGCTGCATGCTCCCTGATAATAGAATCATTGGATTTAACATATTTCTTCTCTTTGAATAAAGGGATAAAATGGGATCTGCACTAATGATTGAAACGGCAAGAAATCCCACATGTCCTAAGGTAAGTTTAGAGAATTTTAATTATTGCGCTGAGTTAATGTCAGGTAAAAGCACTGATCTGAAATCCTTTTCATTAATGGAAAACATGCTTAGAAGCTTTTAATAAAACGAAAACCAAACTCACTCCCGTCAAGTGAGTCTGACTCGTGGCAACCCTGTAAGACGGACGAGAACTGCCCTCGTGGGTCTTCAAGGCTTTAAATCTTTCTAAGAGCACATAACCTCATCTTTCTCCCAGAGAGCAGCTGGTGGGTCTGAACCACTGACTGTGGTTAGCAGCCCATCTGGTAACCCACTAGATTACTAGCGCTCTCTGAAACTTCTAATAGATGATATAAATTTGCATTCTATGAAAGTAAAGGATGCGATCATTAGAGCCTTTTCTATATTCTGTAAAAACAGAAAATCTTACGGATATAAAAGAATGAGAGTAAGGACAAAGAAAAATTCTGCTATCGTATCCCAAATCAACACCTGCTGCCATAATTTTCCATGAATTAGGGTAAATAAAAATGACTGCTACCAAATCGTAGAAACCATTACTAAACAAAAAATCTGAAATTATGATAGAAAGAAAAGCAATTTTTTTACATCCCCTCCATCAACACTTTTTCAGAAGATGCTGTCCCCATCTCTTGAACCCTTCTTTTTTTTCAGTCATTTTATTGAGGTCTCGTACAACTATTGTCACAATCCAAACATACATCCATGTGTCAAGCACATTTGTACATTGGTTGCCATCATCATTCTCATAACATTTGCTTTCTACTTGAGCCCTTGGTATCAGCTCCTCATTTCCCCCCCTCTCTCCCCATTCCCCTCTTCCTCATGCACCCTTGAT